AGGGGGATGGGAGAGGCAAAAAAAAAAAAATTTCCTTTGCTAGATGATTTTTAGAGGTGGAGGTAGAGTGGGGGGGTGGGGGGTATCTCAAAATCTAAAAGGTTAGAGAGAGAATAATCTCTCCACACAGAGGGAGGGCATAAAAGAAGAGTGAAAATGAACTACAAAAGTATACACCTTGCCCTCCTACCATCCAACTAAACATAAATGCTTAAAGAGATGTTCATCCCTCTAATTTATTAAACATCCTCTCACCTCATCTTCGGTCGTTAAACGCCCTACCAAACCAAGCCCATATAAAGTGGGCACATTTGCTTTGTAAGGTACACACCTCAAAATAGCTTTCCCTCTATGACATCAAAATTAGTGGCAATAAGTTCTAAATATGAAAGATGTGGGAGACTAATATGGAAAAAACAAAACGCAATTTACCTTCTGATTTTAGGGTTTTTTTTAAGCCTAAACAAAACTAGACCGCTACGAGAGTTCAAGTTTTGCCAGACGAGAATAGCCAAAATTTGGGCTAGGTTCGGTTCTAGCCCAGTTTTAAGAGATTGACAAACATACCCTTCTAGTTCATTATGCTTGCGTGCAACATTTATTTTAAAAGCCAAAAGACGCTCATTATTGGTTTAATTTAAACCTTTAGCCAACCTAAATAAAATATCTAGATGACGAAGACTTCCATGGCATCTCAAGATTCTTTCCGTACTCACTAAAGCTCATTATTGACTTAATTTAAACCTTTTTCATCACGAACCTAAATAAAATATCCGGATACCGTATAATTCCATGCCATCAAAAGATTCTCTCCGTACTCCCACCTTAAAAAAAGAGCCTCCACAGTAATTTTGACAAATATCCAACGGTCCTAAAGAAATCACGAAGCGTGTGCGAAAAGGACAGAAGAATTTATCTCGTTCGCGAGGACGACGACTTCTGCCTTCAGACAGCGAGGTGCCAGCTCAGCAAAAAAGTACCGATATTTTCCTGAAGAGGAAGCGGGGCCCACTTTACAAAATACTATCAACAACCTTGCCCCCCACCGCACCGACTTAGGTGGGCCCGCGCTCCCTCGCGCGAATTTACTTCTACCCGAGATCTTTGTTACCAATTAGTCATCAAATTGTAGGCACGTGGTTAGTTTCTTTTGGGGGTCTTTTTAGATCGTACCCCCTCACATCTTCATTATTCCATATGCCCCTCAAATCTTGAAATTGCTCGTAGTCCCTCAAATACCAACGAAGTCTTGCTATTTTATTCCATGCTATTTTATTCCAACATTACCAAAACTAGTGTGCACCCCGTGCGGCCTCCATTTTTTAATTTTCGCTACAATAATTCTATATTTAAATACAGTTTTTGTGAGTGTTACAATAACATTTTTTAAATGCTACAGTCTCCCGCCTGAGCTACAATAATAATATTACAGTAATGTTTTTAAACGCTATAGTCCCGTCTGTGCTACAATAATAATACTACGGTAATTTAGTGTAGCATGAATGGTGAATCTTGGATCATCCTGTCAGTGCTACAGTACCAATGCTACGGTATTTTACTGTAACATTTACTCTGATATGAATAGTGAATCTTGTATCCTCCAATTATTATAGAGGAATAGATACCTCTCTGTTTATTTTTTCCCTAAAAATCTCCTTTGTTAAAAAAATAAATGAGGGGTACTTTGATCATTGAGGGACCAAATAGCAAGACCATGTAGGATTTTGATTCAAATGATTCAAGAAATGTATGAGCAATTTCAAAGATTTGAGATACTAATATGTTATTATTGAAGATGTAGGGTACCAATATCTAAATTTCAGACAACAAATCATCAATTTTCTAATTTACACTCCAACTCTTTAAGTTGTTTGAGATAACACCTTTTGAAAATAGTGTTGGTTTTGGGGGTGTAGACCTCAACCTGGAATCAAACATATACATAGCAGGTGAGAGGCCATCGGTCGACTGAAGTATTGGATCAGTCGACCGATTCAACTGTCAGAAATAAGCTGAAGAATCAGCTCTCGTCGGTCGACTGATGAAACTCATCAGTCAACCGAAAACATGCACGAAGCAGGCTGAGAAGCTCTTATCAATCGACCGATGCAAGTGCATCAGTCGACTGATATCGGGTCAGGTGGTTTCCTGGCCCGTTTGGGAACCTGTTTCGAGTTAGGGTTTGTATATATTCTTGAACGTCCTTTTGAGAGTGTGTACATGAAAAAGAGAGGGTTTTGAGAGCACTTCGAGAGAGAGATCTCAAAGAGAGTGATAACTGTTTGCAGACATTGTAATCTTCTTCAATAATTAAGTAAATTTTTGGTGTGGCTCCCGAGGACGTAGGCACGTTTGCCGAACCTCGTTAAATCTTGTGTTCTCTTCTTTATTGTTCTTTCCTGCAAGTTTTTGTTTTGTTGTGAGTTCTTTCTTGCTATTTGTTCGTCACAAGATCACGAGTTTTCAATAGATTAACCCTAACAAATAGAGTTTACACATGTGATCAAGTTTGTATTAAACCACTACATCTTCATATTCTAATTTACTTACCCACGTCTATCGAATTCATTGGTCTAATTATATTGTAATAATTATATTCAAAATCCAACCAAGTGGTGTTATCTAAAACTACTCAATGATTTGTGAGTGTAAATTTGAACTATGAGGTTCAAGGCTCTAATATAATATTAACAAATAACTAATGGTCTAATATTATAAAATAAATTTTTTTACTTATACACACTCCAAATTATTCTATTTACAAATTCAATATTAAAATATGTGTAATTTCTTATTAAATATGTCGGGGGATCGAAACAATCAGCCAAACCCGTGCACTTCTGGACCTTGTGCTAAGAGTTTAGCAAGTAGGAATATCAACGCAAATAAAAGAAAAATTGCATGAAAGATAAACAAGAAAGAACACACCAGATTTAATAAGGTTCGGCAATGTTTTTAAGTCCTCAGGAGCCACACCATACAATTCTTTGATTAATTGAAGAAGATTATAATGCCCACAAATAGGTTTTTATCTCTCTGAGATCTCTCCTTTGATTAATTGAAGAAGATTATAATGCCCACAAATAGGTTTTTATCTCTCTGAGATCTCTCTGAAAGAATCCTCTCAAAACCCTCTTTTTATAATGCCCACAAATAGGTTTTTATCTCTCTGAGATCTCTCTGAAAGAATCCTCTCAAAACCCTCTTTTTTGCGTGTTCTATTAACCCTAAAATATATTAGGTATATATAGTATCTCAGTCCAAAACAGAATCCCAAACAATTTAGGAAACTGTAAAAAATGGCTTTCGGTCGACAGCACCATGTGTTTCGGTCGACCAGCCAGAACACAGTTTCTCACGCTTGTTTCCTGCAGGCGTCTGCTCCGTCGGTCGACCGAACTGGGTTTTTCTAGTTTTCTTCGTTGATTTGATTCTAGGTTTGATCTATACTCTCGAGACTAACAATCTCCCACTTGGAGATCAAACCGTCATCAACAAGCTCTCTCGAACTCCTGCCATCTTCGCAAGTATCTTCTCCTGCCCGAAAAAAAATCATTCTTCAATTATCATCATCTCGGCGATCCCGTCGATCCTCCTAGTATGGCTCCGCCTTTGACTCCTACGTGTGAAGGGCAACTAAAGTTGCGCACAACTCTAGTTTGTCGATAGTCACTGCTTTCGTTAACATATTCACAGAATTTTGGCTCCCCAAAATCTTCTCCAATCATAACTTGTCGTCCTCAATCTGCGAGCGTATGAAGTGGTAATATACGTCGATGTGCTTCATTCTAGAACGATATACTGAATTCTTGGCAATGTGTATAACACTCTGGCTATCACAATAAAGAACGTCGTTATCCTGCTTCAAACCCAACTCTTCCAGGCACCTGGTCAACAAATCATCTCCTTGCTGGCTTCAGTCACTGCGGCATACTCTGTCTCAGTCATGGATAATGTTACTATCTTCTACAAATGTGAGACCAAGCTCACTGCTGTCGACGCTAAGATATAAACATATCCCGTAGTGCTACGTCTCGTATCATGATCACCGGTAAAATATGCATCCACGTATCCCCGTAGTACTAACTCCTTCCTCTTGAAACACAATGACATATCTGTAGTTCCTTTCAGGTAACGCAATATTCACTTCACGGCCTCCTAATGCAACTTCCTTGGATTGCTTGCAAACCTGCTCACAACTCCCACTGTATGGGTGATATTCGCCTCGTGAAAACCATCGCGTACATAAAACTATCAATGGCTGATAAATATGACACTCTACTCATGTGCTCCTTCTCCGCATCTGTTTTAGGTGATTGCTCCTCAGATAACTTGAACTGGTTTCTAAGGGGCGTGTCGACGGGCTTAGCATTCTCCATGTTGAACCTCTGAAGTACCTTCTCGACATATTCAGCTTGACTCAACCTTAACATCCATTCAGCTTCATCTCTACTGATTCGCATCCCAAGAATTTACTTTACTGCACCCAGATCCTTTATAGCAAACTCCTTCGCTAACTGCTTCTTCAAATTATCTATCTCCTCTAAACACGGTCCTGTAACTAACATGTCATCAGCATACAACAATAACACGATATAGCTGGACTTGAACCTTTTAAAGTAGGAATAATGATCTGAATTGCATCTTTCATAGCCATTGCTCTGCATGAAGTTGTCGAACTTCTTGTACCACTATCTCGGAGTTTGTTTCAATCCGTACAAGCTCTTATTGAGCTTACACACCATCTTTTCTTTTCCTTTTTTTGTAAAGCCAACATGTTGCTTCATGTAGATTTTTTTATCCAATTCACCATGAAAAAAAGATAATATTCACATCTAACTGCTCAAGGTAGAGATCTTCTACAGCTACTAAGCTCAACACTGTTAGACCCTAGGGGGTGATTGTAGGCTGTCTAAAAATCACAATAGATAGTTAATCCCTCATCAAACACCGATGATGGAAGTTATAATCTGACGACTTCCAGAAGGCTACAACTAAATATTTCCTCATTTTGAATCTTTGATGGCTTTTTGTCTCCGCTCTCTCTCGATTCTGCTTGCTATTTCGCTATCGGTTCATGGGTCGCTCGCTGATCCTTCAACCTGCCCTCGATTGGGTGTTGTTTATTTAGTCAGTGGCGTCAGGTCGCAGTGCCCTGTTTGGATCGAGCGGTGTTCGCCTGAGGAGGTAATTTTCCCCAATTTTATTTAAATTTTTTTGATCAATTTGAGCATCTGGGTCTTTGTCAGAATTGGGGTTTTCGTTGACATATTGGTACTTTTAGTTACCGTGATAACTTTATTAAAACCTTGCCCTTTGCCCCAAAATGGTTGTCTTTTTGGTTAATTAGTTCACCTCTAAATATTAAATTTTCATTATTGAAATGATAATTATTTGAGTCGAATAATAATTATATTTCTCATGCATGCTATGTGTTTCCCTTAATAAGTTAGTCTAACATTATGGTTTGAAATGGGTGTTGTTACTTGCAAATGCCCCTTAACTCCTTGAAGTTATCTCAAATGAGGACTTCATGTTTGAAGTACCGTCTGATCCGAGTTTTTTTGTTGTTGGAATCTATAAACTTGCATTTGAATGGGTGTTGTTACTGCAAATGCCCATATTTAAGTAGTTGAAATCCCTCTTCTCCTTAGCATTGAGCCTAATCCTTGCATTTGAATGCGTGTAGTTAGGAATTTTTTGCTCTCTTATAACCTAGGTAACCCATAAAGAAGATTTGATCAGGTGATATGAAGAACCGTTCTCTCTTTTTGTAGCATAGACGATGCAGATGACTAGATGCTTTAGTTGGAGATTTGATACAACATTCACTGATCAATGGTACCTATCCATTTGGGTAACTTAGGTTTTTTAACATTTAGCAAGATAACCATGTATGTAGGATCTCGTTCAAATCCATTTCTTCAAGTAGTTGCTTATAAAATACTCAATAGTATGTTCTTCTACATACATAAAGTGTCACCATATTGTGATATTTAGGATGTCTAGTTATACAATACTACCTGTCATTTTTTTACAATTACAAAATATTAGGTAATACCCTTTAAATTCTAGCTACTTATTATTACTTTATTAGTTTTCACTCACTCTTTCTTATGTTTTAAAAAGCTCCGGCCTAGCCTGCTTAGGTCTAGGCGGTACCTAGGCCACTTGCTTAGGTCTTGAGAGCACCTAGGGGAGTAGAGACTGGTTACGTAGATGGCACCGCTTAGGCTTTGGTCGTGATTTCCTTTGTTTCTTACTCAAACGTCCTCTAACTTCCTCTGAACTCTTCTGACCGCCTCCACTGACTACAAACACCTCATCCAACTCTTTAATAAAACCTCCTCCGTCTCCATTTAAACTAATAAAAGAAATCTTTCTAAGTCTAGCACCTCGGCTTTATGTGCCAATTTAGCACCTAGGCGCCAGGTGCCAATTTAGTTCCTAAAAGTGCCTAGAGCTTTCAATAATATTGATTGTGATTAAAAAATAAAAAGAAGGAAACACCTAAGCGCCATGTTCGACGTCTAGGCTGCCTAGCACTTTCTGTGACCTTGATTCTTCCAAGACATATGTGTTCTTTAAGAATACATGTAAAATTAGTTAATGTGTAGTCTTTTTCTTCATATGTAAGTGAACTCATCTTCTAATTATTTCAACTAGAGAAAGTCAAAGTGTAGATGCTTTGATGCGGGCATTCAAAAACAAGCTTTTTGTAGCTGCGCAAAAGCCTGTGTAAAAGCATATAGGTGACAACTACATTGACTAGCTCGCATTATGTAGGCAAACTCTATAATCATTTCTGTGGTTTATGCACTTGCACAGTATTAAAAAAATGGATTAAGTGTCATGTGTTTGCTTACGCCACCACGTGATGGGATTAGGCATGTTTCTTTGCAAATTTATTGAATATGTCTTTTATGCAATCAAACCTCATAATAGACCACAACGTAATCAGAGGCACACGCCTCATTGCATCTCATGCACCTTGCGATTGGGGTAATTAAGTAGCACCCCACATCTAATGCGACAGTGCTTTTTTGCGCCTCACAAGCACCCTTCTTGAGGGCGATTCAGACAAGACTCATGCAAGGCATAACGTTGTATATTTTTGTTCTTTAACATTTTAATCAGGTCTTTATACCCCGTAATCGATATCCCAAAATGAAAATAAAACTCATCAAGTCATTATACTAGCCCGATTGAGGACACTAACTCGTTCTCGTTTACTATTTGATGTTGCTTCGGTCTTATTAGTCTTGATTTTTCTTTGATTTGGAAATTATGAAATTTACTACTACGTTGGGCGTGTTAGGATTATGAATTAAGATGGTTTGGTAGTAGATACTATTTAGCTTGACATTTTTTATGTGAAAATTCGTAAACATGTCATTTCATGCTTGATCATCTATCTTGAAAAATTGTGTGCGGTGAGAGCCTTGCTTCACTCGAGCGCGCGCAGCACATTGCGCCTTGCAGATGTGCACTTAAAGAGACTTTGTGTGCCGCATTGCGCATCACTCATTGATAACACTGGTAGACCATTATTTTAAAAACCTCATCTAAAGTTTTTATTTGGCACTTATTTAAAATTCTGCGGTCAAACCTAAATCAACTAAAACCCATATCTGTCAACTCGAACCCTTTTATATGAAAATCTAAGATCTATATATTCTTCCCAATCCACCATGTTCCTCTTTCTTTCTATCTCCCAAAATGTCAACACTAATTTAGCCGATCTTTTCCCTCTTTCACCCCTGCCGCCACCCCTTTCTCTTTGTTTCATTTTCCTCTCTCCCCTTCTTTCTCTTTTTCATGCTCCCTCTTTCATCATGTCCCTTAAGGAAAAAGAAGATAGTTTGAGGCTTGGAGCTGTCATCGTGATAAACTTACTATTTATTTTAATTGTTATTACTATTGTGTTTATTATTTGCTAATCTGGGTACATACTTTATGATTTTTGTTTGCCTATGAACTAATAATTATAAACAATCCTTAATTGAGACTTCTTTAGATAATAAAAACCTTAAAAAGATATTTAATGTAGGCCAAATTTTGGATAATTTAGCATTATGCTATACATATAGTAGAAAATCCAAATCTGTATAAGTATACATTATCTGCTTAATCGGGACACATAATTCAGTTATGCACTATACACTCAAAACCAAATGCATTATGAAATTGTGTTCTAGAAAATTTGTTTAAATGTGATAGAATATTATTGGTTATTTTCTTACATTGGTCGCTCTAATCATATTAAATTTGAATCTCTCCCAACTAAATGAATTTGCTAGATGTAAATTCTCCCAATCCAATTAATTGAATGAAAGTGAACCCTCTAGTTAAGTTTTGTCATTGGTGAGAATTTGTTAACAAGCGTAAAATTTATTGTTTTAAAATTATCTATTTCCATCTCCTTTACCATAATCCTTGGCAATGTTTTAAATGTCGGATGTCGGGTTCATGTCGGATGGCTGAAATTCATGTCGGATAGCGGAAATCGGGGATATATCGAGAGACATTGACTAAATATCGGATTGCCATATCGGATAGGCGCATATGTATAATATCATGTCCTAAATGTAATCTAAGCATTCATAAATTCAATATAAGCATACTTTATAAATTCTATAGACTAAACATATAAAAAAATAAATAATATATGGATTTGCGTTCATAAATTCTTTCTATCGGGTTCATAAGAAATTCTTAAACATGAGAACGGGTCAAACGAGTTTGGGTATTTATCACTAAACCCAAACCTAATAACAAAAAACAGACCTTTAAAAAAAGTATCATATCGGCCGATTTTTCAAAGCTAAAAAATAGGCCGATATGCCCGATATGACCCTAATATTTCCAATTTGGCCCTGAAAACCGACATACGAGTTGAAAACGTCCATGTCGTGTCGGTCAAACCCTCAAACCGATATGTCGGCCGACATGTCGGACATGTCGGTCGACATGTCGGACATGTCGGCCGACATGTCGGACATGTCGGCCGACATTTAAAACCTTGATCCTTGGTGTATTCAATCTC